TTTCAGAAAAAAATAACATTTTAAATATAAATATATGTAGTATCACAAACAACTAAAAAATGTAACCAAAGAATCAACTAAAATCACAATGGAAGTAAATAGTATATTTACTTTCAAAATCATTCAAAGAATAAAAACAGAGACTCTTTTCTATAAGTAAGAAGCTACCATAACCAGCCAAATACTAACATATAGAATTAAAAAATTAGCAGTATAAAACTGTCTTAGAAGATCTTTACAAAAAGCATATACTATATATATGATAGAAAAGTTCACTCTGTAAGAACACCAGTTGTAGAGTTTCCCGTATTACCTTAGTATATACAACATGTACATCCACCAAAATAACCTATCCAAAAATACTTAGGGAGACAAAAGACTTGTACTTTGAAAGCTACAAAACATTGCTAAAAGAAATTAAAGACATAAATAAGATAGTCATTTTCTTGAATTAGAAGACAATATCATTAAGATGACAAAACTACTTAAAATAATCTACAGATTCAATACAATCTCTATTGAAATCTCTGGGGCTTTTTTTTGTGTGTGTGGCAAAAATAGAAAATCCATCCTAATATTCATGATCTCAAGGGATCCTGAGTAGTCAAAGTAAACCTAGACAGGAAGAACAAATTTGGACATCTCACATTTCTTGATTTAAAAACTTACTAAAAAACTAACATAATCAAAACAATGGGATACTGGTATAAGGACAGACATATAGACCAATGGAAGAGAACAAAGAGTTCAGATATAAACCACTGAATATATGGTCAAATGATTCTTAATAAGAGTGCTACAGCCATTCAATGGGGAAAAAAACAGTCTTTGTAACACTGGTGCTAGGAAATAGATATCCTCATGCAAAAGACTGAGTTGGACTTTTACCTTATGCTATACAGAAAAATTAATTCAATTAATTAAAAATAAATCAGAGACTTAAGTGTAACAAAACTGTAAAGTTCTTAGAAGAAAACATAGGGGAAAATTCATGCCATTGGACTTGGCAATTATTTATTGACTATAACAACAAAAACAGGCAAAAAAAATGATAACTTGGACTTCAATAAAATTAAAAGTTTTTTTCATCAAAGAACACTATTAAGATGTTTGCAAATCATATATTTCTGAGCCTGAGTTGTTCTATATCCAGAATATATGTGTGTGTATACACACACACACACACACACACACACACACAGAAACACACACACACACACACTCCTGCAACTCAACAAAAAGTCAAACCAATTAAGACACAGGCAAGGAAACTTAATAAGCATTTCTTCAAAAAAGTTATACAGTGAAAAGATGCTCAACATCACTAGTCATTATGGAACTACAAATCAAAACCACAATGAGTTACTATCTCACACTCAGTAAGATTACTATTATAAAAAGCAGAAATAAAAGTAGAAAATAAGTGTTGATGAGGATATGGAGGAATTGGAACCCTCATGCATTGCTGGTGGAAACGTAAAATGGTGCAGCTGTTGTGGAAAATAGTGTATTGGTTACTCAAAAGGCTAACATAGAAATACCACATTACCCAGTAATTCCACTCCTAGGTATCTATTTAAGGAATTGAAAGCAGGGACTCAAACAGATACTTGTATACCATTAATCATAGCAGAATTATTTAGAATAGTTAAAAGGTTATAATACCCAAAATGCAACAACTCAGTGGTCTATCAAAAGATGAATGGACCATAAATGTCATTAAATACATCAACAGATGTTAAAAACAAAAACTACACAATTATATCATTAAATGCAGAAAAAGATTTTGATAAAATTCAGCACCCCTTCTTGATAAAAACCCTCGAACATCTAGGCATACATGGAACATACCTTAAAATCGTAAGAGCCATCTATGAGAAACCCACAGCCAGCATACTGCTAAACAGACAGATATTGGAACCATTTCCCTTGAAAACTGGAACAAGACAAGGATACCCACGCTCACCCCTCCTGTTCAACATAGTTTTGGAAGTCCTAGCTAGAGCAATCAGAGAAGAGAAGGCGATCAGGGGTATCCAAATAGGAAAAGAGGAAATCAAATTATCCCTCTTTGCAGATGACATGATTCTATACTTTGAAACCCCAAGAGAATCTGTCCCAAACCTCCTTGTACTAATAAGGGACTTTAGCAAAGTCTCAGGGTATAAAAGAAATGTGCAAAAGACAATTGCATTTCTATACACCAATAATAAACAAACAGAAATCCAAATAAAAAGCCCAATTCCATTCACAATAGCCACACACACAAAAATGAAATACCTTGGCATCTTTCTAACCAGAGACATGAAAGACCTTTACAATGAAAACTACAAAACACTGCTCAAAGAAATCAAAGATGACGTAAACAAGTGGAAAAACATTCCATGCTCATAGATTGGAAGAATCAACATTGTTAACATGTCCATTCTACCTAAGGCAACCTATAGATTTAATGCAACACCCATGAAATTACCAGCAATATTCTTCTCAGACCTAGAAACAACAACACAGGAATTCATATGGAAACATAAACTACATCAAATAGCCAAAACAATCCTCAGCAAAAAAAACAAAAAACAAAAACAAAGCAGGAGATATCAGACTCCCAGACTTCAAACTTTATTATAAAGCTCCAATAATCAAAAACAGCCTGGTATTGGTACAAGAACAGGCATATAGACCAATGGAATAGAACTGAGATTCTAGAAGTAAAACCTCCCTTTCTCAACCAACTCATCTTAGATAAAGCCTCCACCACCAACCACTGGGGAGAGAAGAAACGATTCAGTAAATGGTGCTGGAAAAACTGGCTGAGCACAGGCAGAAGATTGAAACAGGACCCTTATCTCTCCCCATATACAAAAATCAACTCGAAATAGATCAGAGACCTAAATGTAAAACCTCAAACTATAAGAACCTTAGAAAATGCAGGAGACACTCTTATGGAAATTGAAACCGGCAATCAATTCCTGATCTAAACACCAAGTGCCCCGCCATAAGAGATAAGATAGACAAGTGGGACCTCCTCAAACTGGCAAGCTTCTGCAAAGCCAAAGAAACCATCAAGAGAGCAGGGAGACAGCCCACAGACTGGGAAAAAATATTTGCCAACTCCATGTCTGACAAAGGCCTAACATCTAGAATCTACAAGGAACTCAAATGTGCTGGAAAGAAAAAAACAAACAACCCCATTACAAAGTGGGTAAAAGATACGAATAGACACTTCTCAAAAGAAGACATACAAGCAGCCAACAGATACACGAAAAAATGTTCAGCCTCATTAGTCATCAAAGAAATGCAAATTAAAACTACACTGAGATACCACCTAACTCCAGTCAGAATGGCCATCATCAATAACTCAAAAAATAACAGATGCTGGAGAGGATGTGGCAAAAAGGGAACACTCCTACACTGTTGGTGGGAGTACGGTCTCTGTGGAAAACAGTGTGGCGAGTCCTAAAGGTTCTAAAAATCGATCTTCCATATGACCCCACAATCCCCCTACTGGGGATCTACCCAGAAGAACTCAAATCATTCTATAAAAAAGATACCTGCACTCGTATGTTTATCACAGCATTGTTCACAATAGCATGAACATGGAACCAACAGTGCTGCCCATCAAAAGAGAACTGGATTAAAAAAATGTGGTACATATACACAATGGACTATTACGCAGGCATAAAGAAGAACAAAATCATGAACTTCACAGCAATCTGGATGGACTTAGAGTTTATAATACCAGGCGATCTTTCACAGAAACAAAGAACCAAGTATCACAAGTTCTCACTCATGAGCAGACCTTGAACAACTATCATAATACCATAAGAAAAGAATTGACAATAGTGGGAAACTGTGGGGGCATAAGGGGGGCGGGGAGGTGGGGAAAATATTTTAAAAATAAAAAAGATGAATGGACAAAGAGTGGTATATGCATATAACAGAATATTATTTAGCCAAACAAAGGAATACAATTCTGATATACAATATGGATGAACCTTGAAAACATGCGAAGTAAAATAAACTAAAGGACCAAAACTGTATGATTCCACTTATATGAGGTGCCTAGAATAGGCAAATTCATAGGCACAGAAACTAAACTAGAGGTTATTAGGGTATGAGAGGGAGAGGGAATTTGACAGTCATTGTTTAATGGATATGGAGTTTCTGTTTAGGATGAGAAAGTTCAGAAAAGAGGAAGTGATGATGGTTACACAGAATTGTGAAAGTACTTAATGCCAGTAAATTGAACATTAAAAAGAGTTAAAATGGTAAATTTAACGTTATGCATACTTTATCACAACTTAAAAAATAATCTATTCAGTGAACACCTAATTATATTCTGTTGCAGTTGAAATTCACTTTATTTAGATTTCCAAATTATCAGTAAATACACTCTGTATATGTGCATGCACCTAAAATGAATCTCTTCTTAATCTCACATATTTTCTTAATTATACATAATATGTACATATATACATAATATATGTACATATTTTGAGAGTTCATGTTATATTTTGATACATTCATATAATATGGAACAATAAAATCAGGGTAATTGGGATATCAATCACCTTATACATTTATCTTTTCTTTATGTTGAAACACTCAAATTATCTACTAGCAATTTTGAAATAAAAATGGATTTTGTTTACTATAGTCACTCTACTGATTTATCAAACACTAGGTCTTATTTCTACCTGTATTTTTGTAACTACTAATTAACCTCTTTATATTATCCCTCTCTCCTCCCCACCCTGGCTTCTGGAAAATGAATTTCTCTTTAAAAAAAACCATTCTTCGTATATTGTGAATATCAGATATCCTACACTTTCAAAAGCTCCAAATAATTATAATTGTACTCTAATTTAATTACTGTTTCAGTTATTTATATACATCAAAGAATTTAACAAGTCATAAATTAATAGGAAGATACCCAGGAACTTCACTGACAGGCTAAACATATATGTTTATAGTTTAAGTACTAAAAATGAAGATTGTACCTGATAAAGCATAATAGGTTCTACATTGTATCCTAAGGTGTCAGCAAAGTTCTTAGCGATGACTGTTTTTCCACAACCCTAGAAATGGAAACAATTATTCAGGAGACAAGTCAAAACATCCAAAAGCCAAGAAACAAAAGTTTGTAGTGAGGCTACAATTCTTACCTTTCCTCCAATTAAACATATGTCCTTAACCATGTGAGACTGCATCATTTCAGCCTGGAGCTGCTTATGACTTAAAGTCTGTATGAAACGGTCTGCTACACAAGGTTGACTTAATGGTCTGGTCCCGGCTGGCACCTATTATTAAAGAGAGGTAAATATAACATGCATATGCTTTTCTCAAAATATTAGTAACTTAAAGTATACAACTGCCACTTAAAAGTCTCCCATTAATTATTTGCTCAATTCAATTCTATACTGTTTTTAATATTTCAATAGTGCAGAAACCATTTTCGCATTCAGAGACCAGATGATCATTATCATCAAACATCTAAATCAATCATTCTTGTAAAATTAAAATCCCATGCTATCAGACATGTTCAAAAGAATCATGCCATTTTCATGTTATTTTTAATGTAATAATAATAATGTCAGTACTGAAGAATTAAGTTTTTTCCCCAAATTCTAGTTAAAGAATTAACTAGAAATAAGTCGACTGGAAAAGTCCAAAGTCACTGATGACCACCTGTTTTCTAAAAGTCACATTCACAAATCATTTTTATTCTGATCTTAGTTTACCACTTGGAAGCATCTGTTTGCAAAATCTCTCTTCCCATGTTTTATTTTATCCTCTCCTTATTGATCCTCTGGGGCCATGCTCTGCTGAGGACTCAGAACTTGATCATACTACACACCAAATGGAACTCAAGAATTGTTAAGTTTGAAAGATCAGATTTGCAGTTAAGAAAGATCATCCTGGTACTAACATGAAATGCTAACTGGAAGGAACTGGAGGCAATGAAGTTACAGTGCCATTATTACCAAAGGGAAGCAAATAATGATATCTTGCTCATACCTCATGCCTCTGAACATATTGTTTAAATAGCCCAAAATGTCCCATCCATTCCTGGGTCACTGAAAAAGTCTTATGTCATTCTTCAAGACTTAGCTCAAGTCCTGCCTCTTCTCTGAAGTCTTCTCTATTCTTTCTCTTGAATCCCAATATTACTTCCTTCACTATAGTCCCACAGTCATTCCAATGCAGACTTGATGCACCTGCCTCTATCCCAAACCATCAGCTGGATGAGGACATTAATCTGAAGGAGACAGAGTATAGTGGAAAGTGTCCTTGTCTAGAAATCTCAGCTGTGGCATTTCCTAGCTAGTTACTATGGGTGAATCAATTAACAGCTTTACATTTCAGTTTTTTAATATATAAAATGAAGATAATAAAACTTACCTCTAAGGATATCGGGGAATATAAATGGCATAATACATGCAAAAACACAAATATAGTGACTAGTATACAGTAAACACTCAGTAAATCTTAATACTCATGATAGTTATAATCAATGTTCAGTTCCATGAATAAGTACAGTAATGTGAATAAATATTAATAGTATCATATTAAGACAAAAAAGTTCATCATGAATCAGGTACAGTGGCACACACCTGTAGTCCCAGCTTCTCGGGAGGATGCCTTAAGCTCAGGAGTTCAAGACCAGCCTGAGCAAAGTAATAGAACCCAGTAACAAAAACATAAAAATAAAAGATTTGTCATAAACGTTTGTTCTGCTTTAACATAAGAAGGCAAGTATTTATTCTTTTCTGCATTCACTTAGTCAGTTTTTCAAGCTGTGTTTTCTAGTTTTCCATGACTTTGTGGGGTTGTTAGGACCCTAAAAGAAAGGGCTAGAAAAAAGGGAAGCAGAGCAAGCAGATGGAGCTTCATGATCAAATCCCATTCCCCTCTTCTAAACCTGTTCAACCAGAACAGCTCCTCTTTTAACTGTTTCATGTAGATGAAAAACATTTTGCTTGAAAAGAGAGTTCACTAACAGCTAAAATATGTTTGAAAACACTATTTTTTTTTTAACCAAGCACTCATAGTGCAAAATGCTTTCATTAATCAACCCTTGACTCGATTCTCCCAGAGGTCAACTTTGGATTTTTGAGGAAAGACTATCCCTGTTTCTCCAGAGCTTTTCAAATTTATAAGCACAAATGACTCTGGAGGCATAGATATATGTATAGATACAGACATATAAATATGGTGCTATCAAGCAAGAGAAGACTTATAGGAAGATCATAAACCCAACTTAGATCATAAAAACAGGCACACACACAAAAAGTACATCTTAGAAAGGATAAAGCTGTCACTCATTACCTTAATGGTAACCTCTCTTTCTGCAATTCGGATGGTTACAGAAGCTTGGGAGACATAGTTTTCAGTCATCCTCTCCACTCTTACAATCTCTTTAGGAAGCAGAGAGTTTTCTGAATCTTGGAGTTCAAAACGCTGTAAAATTACAAGAAAATCATGTAGTTTGCTTTTCATTTTAGTATTAATGTTGGCTATCTGGAAGATTCTACCTTAATTAGAACTGCAATCCATACTATATGATAAAAGTAGAAGCAAAAAGAGTTAATGAGATATTTTAAAATATTTTAGTAGAATAAAAATAGTAAGCTAGAATACACTAAAGAAGTAAAAATCTCAAGTTACAAGATGAATTATTATTTGCCTATATAGGAAATTTAGAGTACTGTTAATCAGAAAGGTAATTCAGGAACAATAAACAAAAGATTTCTATGTCTACTAATACCATACTTACACCAATTATTAAGGATGACATTAAAAACATCCCTAAAATGTACATGACAGGAAATGAAATCACTGAATTCCTGACCTGGTAGAAATTGACAGCTTACATTTCTTGATAGTTTGCGTTTCTTAGAAAAAGATGATGAGACTCTTGAAAACATGATGAAGTCAAATAAGCCCTATGTCAGCTAATTTCTCAAATTAACTGAAGTTAATGTGCTGCCCAAAATTCATGAAAACAGAACTTCTTGGACACCATTCCAGTGACTGCTGTGTGGATAGCTTAACTGATTAAAAGACATTAAAGCAATCTTCCACAGCTTCTGGCAAACGTGTCTTCTATATTGTAGGGTTCCCAATATTTGCCAAACTGGATTAAAAAGGCTAGGATCGCCGGGCTCGGTGGCTCAGCTTGTAATTCCGCGCCTTTGGGAGGCTGAGGTGAGTGGATTGCCTGAGCCCGCGGGTTCGAGACCCGCCTGGGCAGCGAGATCTCATCTCTGCAATAAATCAAAAAATCAGCCGGGCGTGGTAGCGCATGCCTGTAATTCTGGCTACTTGGAAGGCTGAGGCGGAAGGATCGCCAGAGCCCAGCAGGCCGAGGCTGCGGTGGCCAGGAGCGGCCACTGCACTCCAGTCTGGGCGACAGAGTGAGACTCCAGCTCAAACAAAACAAAACAAAACAAAACAAAAAGGCTAGGATCATTGATTCATTCTTAATGTTAACAAAAAGGCTAGGATCATTGATTCATTCTTAATGTTACCCAATTACCAGTGCTCTAACATTAACTATACCCTTTATACTGGCTAGCTATATATTTTTTTTTAATGCACAGATAATACCACTAAATATGTGAAAAATTAGAATACTAATTGAAAATTAACTAAGCCCTATGTTAAATATGAGAAAATGAATTCATTTTTAGTCTTAAATAGGCAGAAATTATCCCTCTCCAAAATTCTACACTAGTTTTGGAACATTATCACTATAGTGAAAGAGTTGAAACTCTATGAAAGAACAGATCAGCATGTATTCAGCATTATGACAAAACTCCAGAAAACAGATTTATAGGGAAGAAAATCATGTTCAACTTCAACATTCTAAGCATAACAGCCCAATTCAAGTCTTCATTTTGGTGTCACAAATACTTAAGACAATCACTAACTTCTTTCCCCAAACCTGAGAAAAATTATGTATTTGTGCCGCCATTAAAACATTCTATACTTTACACAACTTATATATGCAAATTGCCATAATACCAGTTTGATAAAAATTGTTTTCATGTTATAGACAAATAGGAATTATTGACACTTTAATTTCATGCAAAAAAAAAAAAAGAGAAAGCTACACTATATTTTAAGGAGGGCTTAGTAGAAAAGGAGTAAGGCCTAGTCAAGTAATTAAATTCATTAGAATTTAGAACCAAGAGTCATTAAATTCTAGGAAAACTAACAAATGAACTTAAAGGTATCTTTTTTACCCCAGCTACAGTAATGTCACTCTAACTTGATACAAGATTGATGTCAGAGCACTCATATTACAGAAATAAACAGTAATGCCCTAAACCACTTGCTATATTGCTTATGTCCTTCTAAATAATTCAATCTAAAATATTTTAGTAGAATAAAAATAGTAAGCTAGACGACACTAAGGTGGTAAAAGACTCAAGTTACAAGATGAATTATCATTTGCCGGCATAGGAAATTTAGAGTACTGTTAATCAGAAAGGTAATTCAGGAGGACAATAGACATATTATTATTTTAGGTTACATGGCAGCAAGAAATAGAAAATAAGAGCTTATTTAGTATATTACTTTATATTAATGAGTATTTCCTATGAATTCTTGAATTTCAATTAAACAGAGTATTAACATGTTCTGATATACTTTCTATAGAATTATATTGTTTAAACTATGAGTTAAATTAAATTAAATGTATCCTATTTCTCATGTACTCTGCAAATTTTGTCCTTTTTGCTTATAAAGATATTTGTTTCCTCAATTACAAGAAACAGTCATTTCTTAACTCTACATTATCCTTGAGGGTTCTATCATCTTTTGGCTTCTCTTCACCATCAAGCTTGTTTCACAAATATTGTATATAATCACTGTTTCAGCTTACTCATCTCCAATTTACTATTAAGCTCATTGATGTTTGGCTTATATTCCCACCACTCTACTATCACTGATCTTAGTAAGTCTACCAGTACTATCTTACATACCTAATTAAGTAAATTAGTTTTTTTCCCACTTTGCTATTCCCTCCTCAGTCCCTTTTGCAGATTCTTCATCATCTTCTTGGACCAGTACATTTCAGGGGTAGACCTTTTGTATTTTCTATGTACATTTGCTTTTTAAATAATCTCATGCACTTACATGACTTTACAAATAATCTTTGTAATATTCATAACTCCTGATTTTCCCTCCCTAGCCCTGATCTCTCTCCTGAACTCTTGACTTGTATACATGCGACTTCCCCCTTGCCATTTCCATTTGGATAGCTAATAGGCATTTGAATTAAATATGTCCAATACTCAATACTCAGATCTCATTTCCCCCCATATTTTCTATCTTCAACTTCATCATTCACGTTGCTCAGTCCAAAAGTTTAAAATCATCTATGACTGTCTCAACCCTATAATCCCTCTGCAGATCATAATGATTTTACCTTCAAGTTATAACCCCAGTACAACTATTTCTTATCAACCTCACAGCTGGTCATCACCACCACAATCTCAACTGGATTACAACAGTTGATTAACCTGTATTTCCCTGCTTTCACTCATATACTCCACAGTCTATCACTACTCAGCAACCAGAATGAGCCTGCTAAAATGATCACTCATACAAGACATTCCTTAAAACTTTCTAATGGCGTTCCAGCTCACTCAGACTGAAAGTAGAAGTCCTTTCCAAGACCCTACCTAATCTGACCTCGTTTACCTTCTGACCTCATCTCCTACTAACCGCTCCTTCACTCAATTCGGTCCTTTGCTGTTCTTAGGACACCCCAGGTATGCTCCTGCCTCAGGGCTTTTACACCGTTTATTCCTTCTGCCTGAAATGCTTTCTACCCACAGAACTTGAGATCTTTATTCAAATGTCATCTTCTCAGTGAGGGCGTCCACTCCTCAGTTGACACACTATATACTTATTTGATTGATTGATTCACAGTTGCTCATCGTTAAAAAATAAGCTCCATGAAGGTAGAGACTTTTATCTATTTTACCTGCATCTCTAACACACCAGTGTCTGAAAAATTTATTGGATGAAAGTATGGAATGGAATGAACAATCTTTTTGAGTGAATAATCTAAGAATCTTCATTCATCAAGACATCTCTGCAGCATTTGAAACTGTTGCTATTACTATCCTCTTGAAACAGTTGCTCCCAATGCTTCATAAAAATACTCTCTGCTGCTGTACTTCTCTCTCTCTCATTGCTCTTCCTCTGCCTGATTTGAAGGTTCTTTTCCAAACAACCCTGAAATGTTCAGTCTCTGGCTAGATTTTCTTCTCTTTATACTTGCTCCTCTTAGGTTATTTCATCCATTCCCATGAATTCAATTAACATCCACACATTGATGGCTCTTAAGTATTTGTTTTTAATATCAAAATACCTCTAGAACCAGATACATATCTTTAAGTATGATAGACAAACCACCTGGAAACCTCAAGTTCAAAAGGATAACCCTGTATGGATTTAGTCCCCAACCCAAATGTGCTCCTTCTCTCCACTTTCTCTTATTAATTAATAAATGTCTGTCTACTCACTTGTCCAAAGTAGGATTCATGGATATTCTTGATTTCTTACTTTCTCTCATAGCCCCCAACCTATCTTATATTTTGCATTTTGCATATACATTTAATTTCTATTTCACTGACCAAATTCAGGTCATTATTGCTTTGACCAGAACTATTTGTCATTACACTAGATTGATATAAAATTAGTATATTAAAATAGTTATGTACTGGAGTGTCTGATGGTCCTCAGACATTAAGACTGTAAGTTCCTCAGAAGTAGACATCAGACTTCAACTGTTTCTGTATCCTTAGACTTCTCAATACATATAATTTGCCAAATAATGAATTAATTAATTAATAATGAATCAATTAATGTTTGTTGAACAGAATGAAAAGACTAAATTCAAGATCGTTCCAAGTTTTTTAGAAAAAAAACTATGGCTCAGATTATACTATCAATGGATAAGTGGCAGCATATCGTTTCTAAATCACCAATGGAACTTACTAATTTAACCATTGTTATGATGGAATTCTACTTAAGTAAAACCAAGAGCCAAGACACATTACTAGAAGCCTGAATGTATTTGTTACTAAATTGTGATAAAGCATACTATTCTCAAAGTATAGCAGATTCGGAATAAAAGTGTTTCCCTTAAGATATGCTTAACTAAAAGCTAAAAGTTATTTTACGACTACAGAAACAGGTTTTCAGAGCATGAACATCACATGATGAGCACCAGCTGGGGAATGAAAATCATTCCAGTCATTTTTATAGCTTGTTCAGAAAAAAGAAAGGTGTTATGAATTTTAACTTGATTGCATTTTCAGTGAGTAATAATTTTTTCTTAAAATACAGTCTAAGTAATTAACATTTGAGTGGATATTTAATTCAAATGCAATTATATATTAATTTCTACATCAATCTGGGAGAGAAAATAATGATTATCAAGG